GAACCTCTGCACCTCGGGGGGAAAAACAGGCGCTCTCCTTAAATCAGTCAGTCCTTTCATTGCACATGCTCCCTCACTGCCACTCTGAGTCCTCCGTTTAGCTCTCACCTAGTCTGCTTTTCGTCCTGCAGTTGCGTGAGGTCACCCACTGCCCTCATCACTACTAAAGCGCAGGAAGGACAGAGGTCTTCCTCCCAGCCTCCTTCTCTGTGTTCCATGTCTGCTTCTCAGAGTTTGGGACGGGCTTGGAAGGCTGTCCTGGCTCCCAGGGAAAGGTCATTTATAGCAATTTAATATTCCAGCAGATTCAGGACAGAAGGTGGGTGGAGGCGGAAGGCAGGAGCCCCGAGAACTGATGTTTGCTCCATAGAGGATCCCTTCCTGATTCCCAAAGGCTGAGAATCTATCGCCTGAGAGAAAGGAGAACAGCATGAGGAATGCTGTGGCATTCCTGGGTCACATGGTGTCTTACCAGAGCTGAGGGCTGGCCAGCCACCGTGGAGAAGGTGGGCAGGAGGGCTTGTGAGCCACTGCAGCCTGCTGCCCCGCACCCCCAGGCCAAGCCACCCTCGTTGCAGAGTTCCCTGCGGCAGGAGGGGTGGGGATGGTGGCTGCCTTGCAGGCCCTGACTAGAGGAGCCCGGGGCTCTCTCACCCTCCAGGAGGTGGGCTTGGCTTCTAGGTTCCCTTTCCATTCCTTCTCCTTTGAAGGTTTAAAGGTCTCATTTCCCCCAAATCTCTAGCAAATAGTGGTGTTTGTCCATTTCGGAACTGGCTCACATGGGAGGAGCACCAAAGCGTCTGGCTTTCCTCGGGACAGAGCATGATGCCCGTTCTCTGCTCATGTGATGTGATGTGGTGTGTGATCTTGGGTTTTCATTCCAACAGAGTCATTCTGTTCGGTTGCCCTGCTGTTCTGAACACACTGAGGAATTTCTGTTGTTGTTTTTCCTGGAGGAGGACTAAAAATACTGTCAGGGTAAGGATGACTCTCCCAGCCAGCTGGAATTTTTAAACTCTTTTTGGACTATAATATACATACAGAAAAGTGCCTGATCATAAGTGAACAGCATGAAGAATTTTCACGCACTGAACGTGACCAGCACCTCTCCTTGTGCCTCCTTGCTGTCACCTCCAGCCCCAGAAGGCACCCCTCTATCCTGACACCTAACAGCACAGACTCGCTTTAGCCAGCTGGAGTTCATCCTCAGCTCATAGGACAACCTGATTTGCAGCTGCCCTTCAGTTCTGAGTTGGTGAAGCTGCTGGGTCTCGGCAGGGTCGATTTGGGACTGAGTTCTAGTGGGGAGAGCCCACTCAGCAATTCCAAACCCAGCACATACCCAGCTGCTGCTTCAGCCACACAGGAGGAGTGGACAAGGGAAGCTGGCCCCACCTCAGTTGCCAGATGGGCCTCCTGTCTCCAAGGCGGGCATGTGAAGGGTCAGCCTGTGACTCAGTGTAGAGGGGGATGGGGGCAGCGTTCTCCTTCTATGTTATTCCAGAAGTCCTGCCACGTGTTCTCGGCAGCAGGAGGTCCCTGGATCAGGATGACTCAGCAGCATCTACGTGCAAAGTAGCTGAGGTCTGCGCCCTGGGAAAACTACGTGGCATTTGGTTGGACTTGCCCCATTCAGTGCAGCTCCCACTGCTTGGAAACAGTTTTTCCTCAGCACCTATGCCAGATCTTCAGTCTACCTGTGTGACTCTGAGCTCAGGTGCCAGCTGCCAGCTGGGCCAGGGCCTGTTTGCCTCCTCGGCTGTCCTCCATCTGTCTTCCTTCACTGGCCCCCGCTGTAGGCTAACCCCACATCGTATGTGCTCCTATCACCAATGAAAAGCCAGGTTTGCCTTTGTGCCCACCCCCACCCCATGTGTGGCATGCAGCAATAGACTCTGCCCTCTGCTTCCTCAGCAAAGAGCTGCTCGAATTGTAGGGGGCAGAGGGCTGGCCGGAGCTAGTGGTCAGGAAGAAATGCTTCTGCAATAGCCGACACAGCTGGACAGAGAAGCCCTCCTTCAGGGAGCACCATGTCACAATCAAGCAACAATAAGATTTTCCTCCCGCACCTACTTGACTCTGTTCTCTGCAGCTATCTCATTCTGCCCTAGGTGGGGCAGGGGTTGTCACACACAGGCAGGGAGCCCTGGGGAGATTCAAGTTGTGTTCCCACTACGTCTGGGAGGCCAGTAGAAGAGATGGGGCCAGTTATGGCTGACTCAGGCTGGAAAGGTCTTGGGAACCATCTGGTCAGAAGTTCTCGAACAGAGTGCGTGTAAGAGTCACACAGAAAGTACATGAAATAGACAAGCTCTTTAGGTTCCCTCCCTTCCCCAGGTCCAGGCTAAGTCCTAGAAATCTGCATACTTGGAAAGCCTTCCAGATGGTTCTGATGCAGCTGACCCCAAGCTGTAGCTGGGGGAGCACTGAGCAAGACAACACCTTCCCTGGGTTACAGATGGGGGAGAAAGCAAGACCCAGAGGTCTCAGAGGCTTAGTCGGGGCCCAATGGAAGAAGGCCCAGGACCCGCCTTCTGTACATGCCTGTGCTGCTCTTGTATCCCACACATCGAACCTGTCCAAGTAGCCCTGAGGCCTCGGCTCTGTCTGTGCTTCCTCTGTGGGGTCTCTGCCCTGCCCTGTCCTTCCCTCTTACTGCCATCACCATGAGCCGGATGTTAAGACACAGAACAACATTTTTACAAAGGCCAAATCCCTTGCCTCCCACTTATCCTTCCCTCTCACCCCCCACCACTGTGTTACTCTCCCTAAGACACAGATTACTCCCCCTAAAACACAGATTACTCCCTGCCCCTCCCCTCCATCTATGGGACGAAGTGGGAAGGGTCTGGCCTGCCCCTCCATGCCTCCCCTCTTTGACCCAACCTACCTTTTTGACCTCAGAGTCCATCACTCTCCCTATAACCTTTTTTCCACATGACTTTGCTCCAATACCACCCTGCACTCACATGATGCCATCATCACCTTGGCCAACAGCACTTCTGCCTTGTCACACTGATTCCTCCCATCCTCCAAGGTCCAAGTGAGAGCCACTCTTCCTCCAGGAAGCCTTCCTTGACCATGTAGCCCTAGCATTTTTGTCCTCCTCTGAACCATTTATTATATGTTGTTATTATCTATTACATTTAGCTTTGAATTGTGAGCCTTAAGTAATTCCCAGCTAGAGACCACAGCCTACCCTTCTAATTACCCACCCACCTAGCAACAGTACTTTGCACATAGGAGTGTGAGAAATGTTAGTAATAATGGAACCACACAATGCTAGAGCCAAGGAGACCTTGGCCTGTAGGTAGCTACTTGATTGATGACTTTTCTATGCCTCCTGGGCTAACAAACATCTAAAGGTTAACTTTTGCAAATCTAAGCCAGGTCTTTCTCTGGATTCTGTTCCACTGTAGTAATCAACCCTGCTTGTCACGGCCCTTCCTATGCCCAGGAGACCAGTTCCACCCTCCTGCTCACCATAACAAGCATTCTTGCAAGTCCCTTGTGACTCTGTCCCTAACAGGACATTGCAGCAGTCCTCCCCTTATCCATGAGGGATACAGTCCAAGGCACCCAGTGGATGCCTGAAACTAATACACGTAATACCGAACCCTATATAAATGATGTTTTTCCTATACATACATATTTATGATAAAGTTTAATGTATGCTATGAATGAGGCACAGTAAGAGATCAACAACAAAAACAATAAAGTAGAGCAGTTACAGTGTACTATATTAAAGGTTATGTGCATGTGGTCCCTCCCCTCCCCATAACCAAGACAGCTCCTCGGTGACTGATAGGTGGGCAGCACACGCAATGTGGATGTGCTGGACAGAGGATGAGTCACGTCCCGGGCAGGATGGAATGGCACAGGTCAAGATTCCATCAACTGCTCAGAATGCCACACAATTTAAAGCCAATGAATTGTTTATTTCTGGAATTTCCCATTTAATATTCTAGCCCATGGCCCTGGCTAGTGTGACTCAGTGGATTCAGTGCCAGCCTGTGAACCAAAGGGTTGCTGGTTCAGTTCCCAGTTGGGGCACATGCCTGAGTTGCAGGCCAGGTCCCCAGTTGGGGGCGAGGAAGAGACAACCACACATTGATCTTTCTCCCTCCTTTCCCCTCTCTCTAAAATATATACATATTTTATGGGGGAGAATATATATATATATATATTGGCAACTGTGGTTGACCGTGGGTTAGTTAGTGACTACTGTATTAATATTCCTGCATTTGCCAGTGGACCCAGGTGCTCTGCTTCGCATTCCCCTTCCAGCTGATAGATAACCAAGTTTCCAGTTCACAGCAACACACCAGCTAAGCTGATTTTAAGCTGCTTATCTTGCAGTCCTGCCGGAAGTGGCCAGTGTTGTTCTTGACCCAGTCCCACAGCAACAGATGATGTCCCTCTCTCCCCAGTGAAGATTAAGTGTCCCTTTTCACTCAGGACTGACCATCTCCACTTCACCTAACGCTTGCTTACAAACAGGGCAAGAAGGAGTGGATTGTAGAGATCTGACAGCTTAAGTCCTGGGGCCTGAGCCAACCTTTCAGAAAGGAGCCCTTTATTCTCTGTTTATTGTAGGATAGGTGTCCTGTGGAAGAGGAAAGCTCTCTCTTGCCCGGGGCTCTTGCAGCGTGCAAGTACATTGGGCATCTTCACCTGGGAGGTTTGGGAGGAATCCCTGCAGGAGTCCGGAAGCCCTAACACTATCACTCAAAGTTCAAGTGCACAGAGCAGGCTCATCTGCTTAGAGAAAGTGCAGCATGCAACCTGTGTGGATTCTTTAGACAGGCCTTTGTGCCCTTTTAACAACAGCAGAGCTGCTGAGGGTCGAGGGTCTCCTCAACCCTCTCCCCCACCACCACACACACACACACACACACACACACACACACACACACAGAATCTCCACCACTCATGACATTTCTGGCTTTCTCATGCAACACGGCCATCTTCTCATAAAAATATTTAAGATCTCTACTTACCTAAATAGGTCCAGTTGGGTCCTGCAAAGAACAAAACAAAGCAAGTAAGTACAACTGAGTTTGAAGAAGGGAGAGAGGAATACCGATTGTATTGTGGAATGGGTGAGACTGAAAAGGAGGTGGATGCCCGGAACTTAAAATTGTTCCAGGGTCTGGGCAGAGCAACCGCTCCTCGGAGCAGCTGTGCTCACGAGGGAGGGCCGGGCAGTGAGTTCGTGCAGGGTTCCTGGGCTAGGGAGGAGCCCTCTGGAGTAGAAGCCTTCTCAGATATCTTAAGCCAAGCTTTATTAGCTAGATAGGTAATAAATTCACAAGGCTCAAAACTCCTAAGCAACTGAAGGGTAAACAGTAAAAGCTCTTCCTCCAGCTGGATCTCCCTGCTTCCCCAGAGACAGCCAGTTTCAACAGCTGGTAGGCCCTTCACAGTGTGGCTACATGCACTTACGCAGTTGTATTCCGCCCCCCTTTTTTCCACACAAACTGTCGGCATGTCAGAAACGCTGTTTCGCATCTTTCTTCCCCACCACTTAACAACATATCCTGGCCCTGGCTGCTGTGGCTCAGTGGACTAAGCACTTGGCCTGAGAACCAAAAAGTCACCAGTTTGATTCCCAGTCAGGGCACATGCCTGGGTTGCGGGCCATCTCTCACAGATTGGTGTTTCTCTCCCTTTCTTTCTCCCACCCTTCCCCTCACTCTAAAAATAAATAAGATCTTTAAAAGCAACAACAACATATCCTGAAGAACAGTTCACATCAGTCCATAAAGAGGAGAACACTAATCTCAAAAGGAACATTTTTCTCTGAGGAAGCTGCCACCCTCATCCGAGTTAGAAATCCAGGGGCTGCAGAAATGCACAGACAACAAAAGTCACCCACCACTTCCCGCTCCCCACACTGCACACAGAAAAGCCCTTCGTTCCTACATCAAAACACATTTTTGAAAAGTTCTTGCAGCGCTGATTTCCCATTACCCTGCCTGACACCTCCCACTTCACCCCCAGAAGGAGACTGAGACCCCGAATTGAGCCTCAGGGTATCTCAGGGGACCCACCACATGAGGGGACTGTTCAGCTCCTAAGTCCCTGTCTCTTAGCTCCCCCTGATGTCCCCGTGTTCTTGGCCCAAAGGGGACAGTGAGAAGAGGAAGGCTCTCACATCCCCTTTCTCTCTGGGGAAGTGATTTACAGCAAAACTTAACTGGGCACTTATCACAACTGGGCACTTACCACTTAAACCAATGGTGGTTTTTAAAAGCTAAAAGAGGACTTTGCTTTTTTCTTTTTTTAAGCTGGTTTAATCGCATATTTCTGTTGTAGTTCTATTTCTTTTCTTTGCTTCGGTACTTTAATTATTTAATTCTTCACATTAATTAGTAATTTTATGAAAATACACATGTGCATGGTTTAAGGAGTCAGGTGGTCTACAAGGCTTTTTATTTTAAAAAACAATTTGGTCCCCTGACACCCCTGGTCATTTTCCTGCTCCCTGGAGCGCCCACTTTGAGTACTCTTTAATTAATTCTTTTGGTATTATCTCCACTTTGCTATAAAGCATGAGCCCCTATTGTTCTTTTGCGATTTGTTCAGGTTAGGCATTTATTGACATCCCTCCCCTCAATTCCCAGTTGAACTTAAGGAATCTTTGAGTCTCCTCCTCAGTGTTCATGAGACGGGGGAGTTCAGACCATTCAAAGTATCTGACGTGTATCATGGATCTTTTCTTCATAAAAATGCCCATAAGCTTAGACACACAGAAGTTCACGTACAGTTAATTTCAGGAGGTCCACAGAACCCCTGAAACTTGCTAGGGACCCCACAGGAGTGAAGCATCCCAAGATGAACCTCCCCTGATTTAGCAATTGGATGAAGGCACTCAGCACCATGGGCAAACCCCACTTGTATGAGACTCCCAGGTTTACACTGGCCCCTTCACTGAAGCAATAGTGAAAAGGAACAAAGAAAGCCTTGCTTTCGACCTAAGCTCCAGAAGACATCAAACCTCTTCCCCGAACATTTTCCTTCAGCGTTTTGTTTGTGGGGTTCACTATTAAAATACAATCGTGGATTTCAGACAGAGAAGCCAGACTCTTTCCACTTAGCCAGGCAGGGCACTTGGAGGCTCGGGATGTAGTTTCATAGCAGCTGGGAGCTCATCCTCACTGCTCCCCTGGAGAGACATGGGCCCCTCTGGGGGTCCTGGAGGCCCCCAGAAAAACAGCTGCTGCCTCTGACCTGCTTTGGCCAGGAGTTTTTTAAGTTGTACTTCCCCCAAAATCAAACCATACCCCCAATATCCTGCATCTTCTGCTCTGCTCCCCAAAGCTTGCTAAGCTGAGGTTTCTCCTGCTGTCGTAGCGTTCATCCTCAGAGGAGGCATAGGCATAATACTCTGGGAAGCTCAGGGACCAAGGTCGTAGAGCGGACATCCAGGGCTCTGTGGCCTCAGGTGGTGACGTAGGACCAGAGACTTGTTCTTGAAAAGCAGCAACATCCAGAGCAAACTTTCCTGCCCTCCTCTCTCTGAGCAAGCCCCACTGGTCCTCAAGACTTGGTTCTTTTGGTTATAAATGGCAGTACCTGGAGGGGCTCAGGAGCGGGAGGCTGGGGAAAGGAAGCACCATAAGACATAAATCGTAAAAGTCAAGGGGACGGTGATCTGATTCAGGGGTCTCATCAGCGAGGGTCAGTCCCCAGCCTGTTCATTGGCACCTCAGAGCTGACCATGGGCAGACTTTATAAAGTGCTGTGTGTGTGCTTGTTTTATTTGGAAGTGGTGCCTCCTGATTCCCTGCCTTAGCTCTAGGGACAGGATTCTTAACAGGACCAAAGTGACCCTGTGAGAGGCATCAGCCAAGGCTGCTGCAGCTACACCTTGGTGGCTTCCTGAGGGAGCAGGCCCGAGGGGAACTGTTTCCTTCTCCAGAAGATCAGAGGCCTGGGGAGGCCAAGCGGGAAGCCTGTTAGAACCTGCCCGCCCAGTGTGCACTGGGCAAGGAGAAAGCCCGGGGTGCTCACCAAGGAAATGATATTTACAGAAACCCAAGTCAGGGGTTCAGGACCCTGCCTGCTTCCAGTCCAAGGTGCTGGAAGCTTCCCTGAGTTCTTGAGAATGCCCAGCTTTCTACACCAGGTCTGGACACAGCAGGCTCAGCAGAATTCATTGAAAGGTTCCCCCACAGCAGCTACGAAATCCAAGGTCTTCTCCAGAAGACACCTGGCTTCATCTTATTTTGCTCCCTCACTCCACGCCGCCAGGGTTTTTCAGGCACCCATCAGTGCCAGCTGCTGGAAACTTAAGTGCTCCAGGCAGAGGGCAGGCCAGCTTTGACCAAATTACCCAGCTTCCCCCACCTCCAGCCCCAACCTTCAGTTAATACGGATACTCTACACCTCAGTGATTTTTGCTTTGACCTTGTCCCCAAGGCAGTTTAAAAAGCCAAGAATCTCATGAGGAATAACAAAATAAAAACTGCTCTTAGAATCTAGGGGTAAGCAGGTGGGCTACTCAGTGTGGGGTGAAAGTGGAGTTTTTACTGCAAGCTTCCCCCCACCCTATTTGGAGAATGGGGAGGGGAGAGGGGGGCAAAGGAGAGAAAGGGGGTGAGGAGGAAGGGCTAGGAGGGCAGGGGAGGATGGGGAGGGACACGGGGCAGGGCAAGAGCAGGCTGGGAGGAGGAGCTGTCCCCAGAGTGAGGGCAGTAGCAGGCTTTCGGAAAACAGAGCCAATGAATGGCTGTTTCTCTCTCCTGTCTCAGAACAGCCTGGATCGAAAAGGGAGACTTCTGCTGAAACCTCAGGTCTCCGGGTGGTTTTCTCTAGAGGGGAATACATGTCAAAGTTTTGCAGTTTTAAAAATTAATTCCCACTTAAGTGTAACTCCTCTCTCCCACCTACCTTTTATTTCTCCCCGAAGGAGATGCTATCAAGCATACCATGCCTGCCAGTGGATTGGAACTGAATTCAGAGTAATACCAAAGCTGCTGACAGCCCCACGCCCCACTCTCCCCTGCTCCGCCCCGCCCCACAGGCACAATGACCTCCAGGAAAAAAGGGCTCCAGGCTTTCATGCTGCAGAAGAGGACCGGTATCCCGCAACCACTGCCCAGTCAGGGAGGATAGGCTTTCAGTCATCATGGTCACTTTGGGCTCTTCTATAAACATTTCAGCCTAACCTGGGACCAGGAATTACAGCACCCACAAATGCCTCCACAACTGGAGGCCACCTGTCCAGGACAGAAGCCACCATCAGGTACCCAGGAAGATTCCACAGAGTCACCATTTCCTCTCTCAGAACAGCATTCACTTGGCTGCGAAGGAGGCAGGGATCCTCCTCTTGTTACAAAAGACAACCAGCCTGACCTTGGCTGCCCAGGGCAGCCCACTGCACAGACCGGAGTCTACAGTCAAGTCCACTCACCACCCCCTGCCCCCGCCCTCCGCACCCTCAGCCTCCAGCCCGTGGGGGTTAAGGGCCCTAATTACACTCAGAAATAAGGTGTGTATGCTCATCTCAGTGCACACACACACAAATACGTTTGGGATAGTAGAGCTCTTCTAGAGAAAAACAATGATTAAGGATGAGATGCATCATCCCTTTGACTTGCAGGTAAACCTTAATGGTAAAGAGTCTCTGCTCCAAAGCCGAGCACCCACCACAGGTCCAGAGGGGATTGCATGGGAGCAGCTGCAAACCCTTCTTGGTAGTGGCACTACTCAGGATGCTCCAGTCACGGTACTACCCGCACGTGAATTGGAGCAGTGTTAATATTTTAAATCCTGGGTCCCCCACTTCAGTGAGCAAGTTCCCAAGCACCTCTTCAGAGCCGCAGGTGCTCAGAGGACTCACAAACATATTTCCGTGTGAAGACAGTGTGTTTCCCCCAGCCACAGCAGGTTGCGCATTCCAAAGCAAAATGCAGCATCCCTTCTAAAAATGTGCAATTTGATACTATGCATGTCCTTCCCTGCTTCCCCCCCACCCCCAATGATTTTACTTTATCATTAAAGAGCCCCGCAGGAAATCCTTCCATGCAGGTGTGACTGAGCGCTCCAGGACTGTTAGGAAAGAGGCAGAAACTTTACCGTTGAGTGGGGCTGGGCTGGAAGGCTGCTCCTTTAAGATCATGAGCAGGAGGATGGCCGCAGCGTGCAGGCTGTGGTGGGGCATCTTCACGGGTGACTCCTGCGGGGCAGGCGCGGGCTGCCTTGGGCTCAGGATGGCTCGTTCTGGATCTGGTCACTGAGCTGCGGCCGGCAGGGCGAGCGCCAGGACGGGACCGGACCGCGTGCGCGCAGCGCCAGGAAGGGACCGGACCGCGTGCGCGCAGCGCAGGCGCTTGTGACCAGCACTTCAGTTCTTTGCGCTCCCGGCTCCTGGAGGCTTGCATTTATGCAGCGACTCAGCTCCGTGATGTCATCGCGCGGAGGGAAGGACGCCCTGCCTACAGGAGGTCTGGCGCCCCAGTTCCCAGGTGAGGTATTGCCTTGACTTCAGCCACACTCTGTGGGGCTGTGGCCCCGGGCGCTCCTCTGGAACACGACTGACTTGGGAACCCAGCTTCCCGCGAAAGCAACGAGTAGGCGAGTAGGCGTGGGTGAGATCGGCCCCATCGGAAAGGGAAGAGCGCGTCTAGGGACTCGCTCCAGTGGCCTTGGCCTCTCACTGCCCTTAATGAGAAGCCCCCTGAATACAATGCCATATGGACAAGAACCTTCTTCAGGACCCCAGGGGTGTGCCTGCCTGGACTGGACACACGTTAGGGATTAGACGAGACAGCAGAGGGGCTGCATTCAAATTCAGAATTTCTGTGGATTGTACAGTGTATTCTCATAAGGTCTTATCTTCGAAATTTAGATGCAAAGAAATGAATTAAAACAAAGTAAATAGAACAACGGGATACAAGTGAACAGCTTTACTAAGCAATGAGATTTTCCCCTAGCATTGGGTAAGTAGACCAGGTTCATGCTGGTTCATAACATCCATTCATTCTCTAGGAAGGGGGGCGGGTCACTTCTCTGGGTAGCAGGAAAGGGGTTTACGTCATTGGCTGAGCACCTGGTATGTGCCAAGCACTGCACTAGATCTAAGTCAGTGGCTGGGTTCTGTTTCCAGTGCATGTTATCATCACCTGTCGCTCCTTTCAGCCCACTTTTCTCACATATCTGTACTCAATAAATGTGTATACATACACATACAGCCACCTATGCGTGTGGTTCTGATCCCCTTTGCATGTAGTCCATGTTCAGTTGTTAAGTCGATGTTCTCATTAACCTGCTCTCTCCAGTACTCCCCAGATCCTCCTGCCGCTGTTCCTGTGACTTGCTGTTCTCCCCGCCCTTGTCATTGGTGTTTTGACTTCCCTGGATACCCCCGCCCTGAGTGTCTCTGTGCTTCTCCTGGCACTGGGCTGGGTTTCCTCCCCACTCTGTGACCCGGCCTGTTCTCTTGGCTCCCTGCTGCCTACTGACATTGTTCAGGCCACATGGTCTGCTGACGGGTGCCCACCCCGATCGCCGGCACATGATCCCTGGTTTTGTGACCTAGTCTGTCTTGCCCTCATCTCTCAGCCACGGTGGCCTACCAGCCCTCACTCTCTCAGGTCTGTCCTGACCCTCAGTCCACATGGACTCTCAGGCCAGCCTCAGTGACCAGTGAAACCTTTCATCGGTGGTGGTTTTGGAGGGTTAGAGCAACTTCTGTGCTGCAGGTTACGAGGAAGCACATGCCACCTGTATTTCAAAGGGTGCAAGTGTCCTGTCCTTATCAGTTCAGCCATTGCTTGCGTTAATGAAGGGCTTTGAAGTCTCATTAAGGAAGTAGTTACAAAAAAAAAATCTTGTTACAAGCACTTCCAGACCACAGAAGGCTTAAGGATGACCTTTTCTGCCTGCAACTCCCAGCAAAGAGCCTTGTGTGAGCTTCTGAGAGGCCAGTGAGCATTTCCCTGTGGTTAAGACACTCGTGTCTCTGATCTGTCATCCAGGGCTTTAGAAGATGACTGCATTAAGGAACACCACAGACTGGCAGGAGCCACTGCAGCTCAGAGAGATACACACGCTGACCCTGGAGGTGAAATCACTTGTCCCACGTCTCAAGACCAGTCAGAGGTAAACCAGGCTGGGCACATGCATTTTGTTTTCTCCCACCCCAGATGTTTTCCCTTTATGTCTGGCTAAAAATTAAGTTCAGTTTCTCCTCAAACATGAATCTCTACCTGTTCTCCAGGGATCCCCAGAGATGGAGAGGTTTTTAAAAAGTGGGTTGGATTTCATGGAACAATAAGCAAAACTGTGAACTGGGTTTGATGGAAAGAAAGGAGAGGATTGGAATGTTTAGTGCTTGTCTAGATCGGAGACCTGGTTAAGGAGGAAGCATGGGTGGCAATTAAAAAAGAACTGAGACTATAAACTGAGACCCACAGCTCTGAGTGCTTTGGATGATTAAAAAAAATCTTAGGGGGGCAAAGGGGAAAAGCAAACAGAAATGTATGAAATGACCAAACTTCTAAAGCATTGATGCCAAATGTCGAGGGCACCACCTTCCCCCAATAAACAGCACAAAACTACCCAGCATAAGTTCCCAACTCTTGAGAACTTTACTTGCCAGTAGCTTCACCTGAGGTCTAAGTGGCTAAACATGTAGCAACTTGCTGTGCCACCATCAGACAGGGCCGTGTCAGCCAGTAAGCAGCCAGTACTCAATGGGTGAGGATGGAAAATAGACCTTCACACCCACAATGAGGCAGATGGCCACCAAATGACACACCTACACAGAAGGCTCCAGGGAACAGAGCATCTCCAAAATGTCACCATCTGATTAGAAGAGTTAATATTATTAAAATATCCATACCAGTCAAAGCAATCTAGAGATTCAATTCACTTCCTATCAAAATTCGAATGGCATTTTTCACAAAAATAAAACAAACAACCCTAGAACTTGTGTGGGACTGCAAAAGACCCTGAGTAGCCAAATCAATCTTGAGAGTGAAAAATAAAGCCAGGGGCATCATGCACCTTGATTTCAAACTATATTACAAAGCTATTGTAAGCTAAGCAGTATTGTTTAGATTCAAAACAGACACAGAGATCAATGGAGAGGTCACAGAAATAAAACACACATATATGTTAACTAATTTATGACAAAGTGGGCAAAAATAACAATGAAATGAGACTACTATCTTACACCCTACACAACCATTAATTCAAAATTGATTAAAGACTTGAGTGTAACACCTGAAACCATGAAACTCCTAGAAGAAAACATAGATAATAAGTTCCTTGACATTAGTCTTAGTGATGGGTTTTTTCTTTTTTTTTTTTTTTTTGGATCTGACTCCAAAAACAAAGGTAAGCAAAGCAAAAATAAACAAATCAGATTACATGAAACTAAAAAGCTTCTGCACAGCAAAGGAGCCATGAACAAAATGAAAAGGCAACCTATGGAGTGAAAAAATATTTGCAAATCATATATCTGATAAGGTGTTAATATCCAAAATATATAAAGAGCTCATACAACTCAAAAGCAAAAAAACACAAACAATTTATTTTAAAAATGAGCAGAGGACCAAATAGACCTTTCTCCAAAGAGGACACGCACATGACCGACAGGCACACGGAAGGACACTCAACATCACCGATCATCAGGGACACACAGATCACAGCCACAGCGAGCTGTCACCTCACACCTGTCGGGATGGCTCTCGTCAAGAAGAGAAGAAAGAACAAGTGTTGGCCAGGGCGCCCTAGTTGGAGAAAAAAGGATCCTCTTGCACCGTTGGAAGAAATACAAAGCGGCACAGCCACTGTGAAAAACAGTATGGAGGCTCCTTAAAAAGTTAAAAATGGAATGACCATATGATCCAGTAATTCCACTAGTACGTATTTGTACAAAGGAAATGAAAATACTCATTTGAAAAGACATATACACCCTTATATTTATTGCAGCATTATTTGTAATAGCCAAGTCATGGAAACAGCAGAAGTGTCTACCAGTGGGTGAATGGGTAAACAACAGCATACTGCTCAGCCATTAAAAAAATGAAATTTTGCCATTTGTAACAACATGGATGGGCCTTGAGGAAAACCCACTGAGTGAAATAAGTCAGAGAAAGATAAATACCACGTGACTTCACTTACATGTGAACTCTAAAGCAGAGGACCCACAGATACAGAGGCCGGAACAGCGATCACTACAGGGAAGGGTGTTGGGTGGGTCACATGGGTGGAGGGCATGAAAAGGCACACACTTCCAATGGTAAGGAAGCCACGGGGAGGCAACAGGCAGCCCGGTGACGACAGTGAACAACACCGTAGTGCGTACTTGGAAGCTGCCAGGAAAGGAAGTCCTGAAAGTTCTCATCATGAGGGGAAAACACTCCTTTGTGCCTTTGTATGGTGATAGATGGTGGCTGGGCTCACTGTGGTGGTCATTTCTCACTGTGTGCAGATATTGAATTGTGATGCTGCACATCTAAAACTAGTATGTTACCCGTCAATTATACCTCAGTCTAAAAATCGGCATGAGGGCACAGGCAAAGGAGCGAGGAGGAAAGAGACGTGGGGTCTGGGCTGTTGGGCTGCCCACTGCTCACTCGAGGGCCTTGACAGTGACGCAGCCTCCGCACTTCAGTCTGCAAGATGCAGGGGTGAGCCTGGTCCCTGGGTTACCTGACGGAGTTGCTGTGTCCCTGGAAGGAGATAAGGCGAGGGAACGTTTTTCTCCATCCATTCCCTCCCTCGTTCACCCGTTATGGGCCACTCACTGTGCTAGGCATAGTCTTCTTGGCAAATGGGCAAACATAAAACAAATACTCTCATAAATAACTGTGTAATTACAATGGTAATACGTGCGATCGAAGGCTGACGTACCACCAGGAGGCACCCGTCCTGCCCTGGGGCAGTGAGGGATTAGATTCTGTGGCTTCATGCAGCCTTTGAAGTGAAGTCTTGTCAGTGTTTGCCGTAATTGTTAACCTTTCAGGCATACGGGCTAGAGTACAGAGCATTTTGTTTCTTGAGGTAAGAATTAACTCTTCAAATAGTGTCAATCAATTGGGAATGCACCTGAGTATGGGGCTAAACAAAGGACTGGTGGGAGGAGAACTGACATTTGTTGCGTACCTATTGTTTGCTTGACACTTTGCTTAGCACTTTCTTCTCATTACCTGCGGTGATAGTGTTAGGTTTGCCCTCTTATGGATGAGGAATCTGAGGCTTGGGGAAGTTAAATCCCTTCCGGACACAACTTCATGAGGCTTTTGAGTGACAGAGACTGAATTCTCAGCCAGATGATTCTGTCTCCAAGGCCCCAGCAGGTTCTTTCCACACCTGTCCTAATAAATGCCTCCAACGGGGACATTTTGTTTCTGGATCCCTCTGACAGTGGACTCTCCAGTTCTCTAGACGCTGTGGTCAGTTATCTGTTGACCAGGGGCACAACGTGGCGATGGCGTAATGCCCAGCATCAGGCATGGCTGTGTCCTCCCTAAGCCCCGTGGGTCACTGAGGGACCCTACACTTCGAT